TCTTTTCGTGAATTGTTCGAACGTAACGAGTGACATTCGAGAGGGGGGAAAAGTAACTGACAGATTTAATGGTTTTGTGGGAGTAAAAAGATGGAAATAAGATAGAAAGAGAGGAAAACAGTTGGATAGAAACGTTTCAGAAATTGGAAGCTGCGACGCGAGTTCGCGGAAGTAGTGATAGGAGGAGGAGAGCTTCGAGAGGCAGATAACACGAAGAAATTCTACGAAGCGTGGACGGGATAAGTTATCCTCGCGTTTCGGGATACGCGTCGACATTATTTCGTATCTTGCAGGACACTTCGGCCAATGAGGATGTCCTGCCTGTTACGCTACCGGAATTCATAACGAGGTCTTATCTTTCTCCCTCTCCCTCACCCTCTTTCCCTCTCTCTCTTCCCCCACTTCGTCTCTTCGACGATTTATTCTTCTTTTCATTCCTCTATATCTTTTCCCACCCTCTGTTCCTTCCTTCCTTCCTTCCTTCCTTCCTTCCATCGCCCTCTGCTACTTCATCTTGTCTCCACTACCACCCACCACCTACTATTCCTTCTCTCTCGTGTTCGCACACACGGTCAGGTAATATCACGCGATTCTTTCTTGGAATCGAGCCCGCTTCTTAGTTTTCTCTTCACGCTTGTCGCCTTCTACTTTCAAAACTTCTACCAAGATCCCAAGACTTCACCATTTGTAATTTCAAACGCGCACTCTCCTAAGACGACGATCTTTAAAGAATAAAAAGTATTTTTTTATCGACTTTTCTCTTTACCTATCTGTAATTTTGAGTAGTTTGGTCAATTCAATGAAATATAAATATTACTGATCGATTGTGAATCTTTCTTTTTTTTTTCTTTTTTTTTTGAATTTAATCAAATCAAAGATATTTCTTTTGGAAAGCAAACATACATATAGATTATATAGTTGTATAAAACATTTGGAAATGTATACTTTTGATAACGCTTAAGGCACGTCGTTCGCTAATAACAAATCTAGCAACGGTGATTACACGCTGTGATTTCGCGGAGAATTGGACGAGTGATTAATTCTCGCGGGCAATCCCGTTCTTCCCCCAAAATGTCCCTTTCACCTCTCTCTCTCTCTCTCTATATATATATATATATATATATATATATATATCTATCTATCTCACATATTCTCTCATACACGTTCCCTATGCGGATTTGTCGGGTGAGCCACTCACAGCAAAGATATTTTAATTCCGAAGCGCCGGCGAAGCCGTTTGGAATGGTTATTAATTCGTGCGTCGAGAACGAAGGGTGTGGATGGTGTAGAGAAAGAGGGGGCAAAAAAAAAAAGATAGAAAGAGATGATAGCTCCGTAGAAAGAAAAAGGGAGAGAGAGAGAGAAAGAGAGAAACAACGTTCGTAAAAACAGCCCCATTGTTATCGCTGTCCCGCGGCTCGTTTCGCAGTGGGCGGCACTCGAATGAAGAGCGAGAGAGAGAGAGAGAGAGAGAGATAGAAAGAGTTTCGTGTAAACGCGTCTGCTTGCTCGACTCACATATATACATATACATGAAACATACATATGTATTATATACGTGTGTACAGATTTTACTAACGACAAAAGAGTAGAACCGAGGACGATTCTTTTACATTGATTAATGCATCTCATGAATGATAGTACACACCATGGATGATGGCCCACCCACTCACTCCATGAAACGTTTCTACCCTTCTTTCTCCCATTCCCCTCATTCCGCACCGTCTATTCGCTCAGCCATCCGTCTTCGTCCCTCTCGCCAAAGCATTTTCCATCTTCTTCTCCTTCTCTTTCTCTTTCTCTTTCTCTTTCTCTTTACTCGACGGGAGCAACTCGTTTCGCGAGGACGGATTCATCTCCGATTTTATGCCTCGTTTGAAAGCTCTACCCCGCCCACCCCTTCCATTCTTCCACTCTACCATCTTCTTCCTTTAACTTCTCTTTTCATCTCCCCCCCCCCAGTCGACTCGACGACGATTCCAACCCTTATCCCAATGTACCTGTGCCTACCAAATTCGAATACCACGTGTCTGAATTTCTTTAAAGAGAGAAAGCACTTTATTTGTTATTTAAATAAGCTCGCGCGAACACGGTAAGATTATTTTTCAATCTTTTTTCAATCTACTCTATCTTTTTTTTATTAGCTATAGGTGTGTATGTAAGTGACAGATATTAAGAAGCTCGAAAGAAGTCCTCGGTTCGTTGAAATTCCAAGATATATATCTTCCTTTCTCTTTTATTACCTGAAAAATGATCTTTATGCTGAGAAAGGTCGATCCAGATAAGAAAGGAGCGTAATTATCTCTCAGCATAATTAATTTCTATGATCAACGTCCATGTTCTCTTCATTTACACGTAGTTGATTAAATCTAAACGAAGAGTATCTTACGTGTTATTTAACTTGATGAATTAATAATACGAATTACACGGTTGTCCTACAGATAGGATTTTATCCAATTCCATTCTTAATAAAATGAAATTTTGATTTTTTGCGGATACAACTTTGTTTTTTTAAATGAAAATTTATTACAACAGGTAAACTTGGAATTATCGATAACAAAAGTCCTTGAAATAAAGTTAGCAAGAAGAGAAGATAAGGGAAGAGAAGAGAAGAGAAGAGAAGAGAAGAACGGCCAAGTCAATATTGTCCTCTCGCACTATAAGACGAGTTAAAGTACATCCTGAGAGCAGCACAAAACGCAAGAGAACTTTCTATATCTAGATGCGTAGTTCTGAACAAAGTTGACAGAATCTAAGTCGAAGTTGTACAATCCCCTTCGACGTTTCCTACATCGCAGAAATAAATACGGTCTCCGTTGGCCCCGCCGTGGCTTCGTACCAAGAGTCATTGGATAAAACGCGAGAAATAGAACCGACAAGAAATGACTACTATAAAACATTGACTAGCATCTTAGCTATTACTATCTAGGACGTTCAACTCGATCTTTATACTCGACTAAAATATCCTCGGGAAATAAAAAAGAAACCTATTATTCCCCCGTGAGAGTGTGTGTGATCAGCCTTACACAATAAATCAAATTTGTCTATATTAAAAATAAAATCTAATCGCATCTAAAGTGACAACTATAATTAAATAATAAAAAACAAAATGATTGAAAACATTTCGAATGGAAGAAGAGATAGCAGTATCAGTTTCGTTAATGAAATAGAAAAAGATACTTTTAGAAATTGAAATGTGTTCAAGATCACATATTTTTTTCCGAAAGCAAAAAGAATCGGTGTCATATTTCGAATCATCTTTCTTCTTACCTTAGATCACGTAAATCGATAACACCTTTAAAGATATTTCTCTACTAAAACCAATTTCCTTCGCGACGAAACAGATTTGCGAGAAGAAAATCTGATCCGATCTATCTACAGTAGTCCGTGCTTCACCTCTGACTAAATATTCTCAAAGCTTTTTTTCCTTTCCACTCTTTCTTTCCTATTCTCTTTATCGAACTTTTAAATAACATTGAAAACTTTGTCAATCGTATAATCTTACCTAGTATCGATATTCAAAAGAATAAATCAATTGGATTAACAAAGGAGATATGTACATAAAGGCCAGCAACAACATGAATTAGGTGTCGTTTCTTAATGAGGCAGTAAATCTTCGTCAAATTAATTGTAAAGGAAAAAAAGATAAGTATAGCGAGAGGACTATGGACGCCCGCATGTGTTCCTTTTTACTTCGGTTATTCAACTTAAGTATGCATGTGCATGTGATATACAACAAACGTATCGTTTATGCTTCGCATTAACACTCTTTATGAACTAATAATTCCTAATAAGTCACTCATCGCGATCTTTAAGATCTGGAACGTTGTCCATTGAAATCTTTGTTAATAAACACAAGCATTCGTTTGAAAACAAATTTTATCTTTTCATATGCACACATTTACAAAAAAAAGAGAATAATTATTTCCTATCGCGATATATCGTATTTGAAGTCATATTTTCGAAACAAAAAAACGCTAAGTAAAATAATTTCTATAAAAAGAAAAAGTGAGATTTTTATGATTACATATACGGTGTAGTTAATGAAGGATCCATTAAGAACAAACATTATACAATTGATATGATTTGAATAGGAACGTTTCTGTTGCTCTTTCCGGACGTTATAAAAATAAGGAGAGTGTAGTTATATGCTTCGACTGTCGATATAACCAACAACGAAGGTATCGTACTTCGACAAGACGGAAATGGTCTTTCTATTCCTTCCTTCGTATTTCCTTATCGCGTCGCAATACATTCGTACATACGTTCATTTCTGAGAATCGAATTCCGAAGGTACCGCTTTTTATTCTCGATACTCTCCCCGACCCTTTTATGTCTCGATATTTTTACTTTTACGATAGTACAGAGTTCCGGAAGAACGCAAAGAAAATCAAATCTAATGTTCGTCGGTGCTCTCGAAGTAGTCGTAAAGTTTCTGAAAGCTTTCGCGATAAAAGTAAGAAAATCTGCCGATTAACCTTTTTTTTCTTTTTTAGATTGTGTGTGTGTGTTTTTTTTTTTTAAATATTATTTTTACATTAAAAATTTTCTAACCAAAGATAAGTAATAATACACAGTTACGATATAATCGACACAGAGATGGTAGTCAATACAAATCAGACTAAAATGTAGAAAAAATAATTAAAGGTTAAAACACGTAGTCGTTTGGAAAACCTAATTCGCGATGAACGTATTTCGCTTACTTTTTTTTCAAGATCATTGGTACTTTGCCAAGATAATAGAGATACCTAAAAGTACTATTATTATATATTTCACAAATGAGACGTCGAATTCGAACTATCATGATGTTTACGAATGATAAATAATTTTCATTAACGAGAATATAATCTTGAAATAAAAGTCGATCTCGCTTATGTTGAGATTAAAGAAATTAATTTTCATTATTGCTAATATTTTTATTCGGTCCAAAAGAAACACTGACAATAATATAAAAGAAGGAAATAAGGAACAAACAGAAGGAAAACTTGAAAAGTACTTACTTTTCCGAGTAGAACGCAGATTTCAATAAAGAAGTAGTCTTGATGTCTCTTAAACGAAGAAATAAAGCCAGTCTTCTTGTTCCTTTTCAGTAGAACGACGACGACGAGGAGGAAGAAGAAAGCAAGCACGGTCGTCGTAAAAAAACACGTAGCACAGTAAATATCCTTAATACGGTCACGTGACACACAGTAGAAACTAACCGGAACCACGAATCTCTAGATCTCTATTTCCTTCTTAGAGCTTTTCCTCTATCTTTAATATTTATTTCTTTTTTCTTTCTTTCACCCCTTTACACCTTCGCCGTCACCGTCCGTCGTCGCACGAACAAAAAAATTCTCGACAATGTCAATCGTTCTTCCTTTTCTTTCGGCGTACGACGAACGACACTGTTGTAGTGGTCAATTCTTCGACCCTTTATTATGTCATACTCGTTTCTTCCATTTAATATAACTGTTCTTCCGACTATGACTGTTTTTTTATAATGGGAACAAAATAATAAATATTATAAAAAAACAAAGATGAACACACGTCGTCGTGGTCGAAGATCTATCGTATTGTAAAGAATTAGAAAAAAAAAACAAAAAAACAAAATAAGAAAAAAGAAAAGTTTACATTCGCGATTAGTTTTGAAAGGGGGTTGGGATTCGTCGTTCGGTTTGTTTGAAAGAATGAAGAATGGTTTTTGAAAGATGCAAAATAAGAAGAAGAATAAGAAAGGAAATAGAGGAAAAGAAGAAAAGGGTAAAGTAAATTGTGGAAAGGGGGAAAAACAGATAAGGAGAGAAGGAGGGTGTAAAAAGAGATGGATGTATAATATACGCGGGGAAACGAGCGAGGCGACAGTCGCGTGGTATCGATTCGTGGTCGTGGAAAGCCGGCAGAGGCAGCCAAGAGAGCGAGAACGAGAGCGAAAACGAGAGCGAGAGCAACAGAAAGAGAGAAAGAGAGAGAAAGAGAGAGAGAGAAAGAGAGAGAGAACGAGCGACTAAGGGAAAGAGAGAGAGAGAGAAAGCTTTTTCTTCGTTTTCCCTCCCCTTCACGGCAACGATCTTTTCTCTTCGTCTTTCTCTTTCTATCTCACACACGCACGCACGCACGCACGTACGTACGCACAGACACACACAAGCATTCGCACACACGCACACCTTAAACCCTGTTCGTCCCTCGATGCACCTTTTCTCTCTCGTCCGTTCTATCCTATCACACTCCGAATATAAAGTTTTATTTTCTCTCTCTCTTCTTCCCTCGTACAAATTGAAGTCCTTTATATAGGAAGTAATATTATGTATATATATATTACGATTATTATTTTAATTATTATTATTATATCCTTCGAAAGAGAGAGAGAGAGAGAGAGAGAGAAAGAGAGAGAGAAAGAGAGAGAGGAACGCGAGTCGGTTGTAACGTCCCGCTAAGGGATGACAACTTTTGTCCCTTTTCTTCTGCGTGTCCACGTTTATTAATAAAGAAGGATAACGAGAACAACGAGATGATTATGTAGGATTATTCTAACAACAAGGATTGTTATTTTATGCGATAAGACAATAGCAACAACGTGCGCGAGCAACACCGGTGCGTCCTTGCGTGCATACGTGCAGCCAGGTAAAAAGCAACAGACACATCTCCTACGGACGTCCGGGTCGGACTGAGCGCTCGAACCGCGCCGAAGACGCACGGAGCTATCCGAGTTACCTACCCCCACCATTGGTCCCTCTCGCGCCGCCGCCGCCACCGCTGCTGCCGCCGCCGCCACGATCTCTTCCCCCCACCCCGTCGACCACGAACACGCTTCCACCACCCTTCCGCCACCCTTTCCTTCATTTTCCCTCGAACACCAGCAACCCCTACCACCATCGCTAGCATCGTCGTCTGCGCCTCGACATCTACTTGGTATCTGCTTCTCTTGCTACCTTTCGTGCCGATCGCCTCTTCCCCCCCCCCACTCTCACCCCCTCGCCATCACCAAACCACCCCCGAAACGCCAGTCGGCCGAGGATTTAAGGCCCTCCCTTCCTCCCTCTCACTCTCTCACTCTCTCTCTCTTTCCCTACGCGGTGTTGCCAATTTAGCGGGAACGCCGCTCTTGACAGTGGATCAATCTTTTTGTTGATTTCGTTTTCCTGCAACACCTCTTTTTTCTTTTTTTTTTTTACTTTTTCCACTGGTCTTTTACATAAATGCACAAACTTCTAAATCTATTCTAAATTTATTTAACAATAAAGTCTTCTTTATTTTTTTTTCGGTGATATTCTAGTACTCGATCGAGATAAATCGAGAGAATATTTTAATGTTATATCGATTACGAATTCGCTTACGTTACTAAAATTTCAAAATCATTAATCGCGTTGATATCGTCGAATGTTTTTGTTTTTTTTTTTCAACAACATGGATAATATTATAAACAATTCGTGTAAATAATTAAATTAAAAGAAAATCGATGCACTCGTTATTTTCATCAGACTCGACGGTGTGCGTCTGATTCTGTACAAAATACCCCTGCACGAATGGAACAACGAAGATATTCTAACAACGAGCTCGCGTTTCATCGTAGTAACAGGTAAACGTGTCAGGTTTTAAAAACCACGAGCGATTTGATGTATCGCAAAGCTCGTGCAAAGCTATACTTTAAATACGTGCCGATCGATTTTCAACGTTATTTGTAATTTATACAGTGCCGCGCGGATTTCCAAGTATCAGCATTTCGCTGTCGAAATCCGTTCTCACGTTTAGAGTTTTAACTTGTAATTAATTGTACGATGCATTATGTATATATATATATAGATACGTGGCATAATATATGTAATTTGTAATGCACACATTCGTAATGGGTAACACGATATCGTTCCCTGTTCAAGCGTTCGGGATGACTGTCGATTACTCGATTTATTTCGACGTAGGAGGATACTCAAACGGTTCGCGGAGGAAGGACCGAATTGTATATATCGTAACTAACTGATTTACAACGCGGAAAACGATAAATATTTAACTGCATGAAATAATGGAGCTCGAGTGTAACATATAAAATACGCGTATCACCATAAGATGAATTTTCCTATTGGAATCGTTCAACGGATATTTTTTTTTTATCGAATATTTCAAGCTTAACGAACCCATTTTTTTAAGAGATTTTATACCCCATTAAAGAGACTTTAATGTAATCATGAATTCGACTGCAATATGCACTGCATTCGACTGCAATATACATCCATTCATCGACGAGGCAAGATTCACTAATTTTGACTGGAGGATCATCCATTGATAGAAAAAGAAAATGAAAATAAAGAAGAAGAAAAAAAAAAAAGGAAAAGCAATGTGAAAAATAAACTCTCGGTGTCGTAATTCCGATTCTGGATAAGAATAAAACTGGACGAATCGAGAGGAAACGAATGAATCAATACCATACCTACTATCGCAAGAAGCGACGTGATTTGAAAGGAGGCCTGAAGGTTCTTCGCAAAGCTCGTCTGGATCACAAAAGAAGTACGAGTCTTTCTTTAGAAGGAGGAGAAGGAGAAGAAGAAAAAGAAAAAGAAAAAGAAGAAAAAAATAGAAAGGTAGAGAAGAGGGAGGGTGTACGACTACCGACACGAACCATTTCGAGTTATTTCATCAACGGCCGCCTTTATCGGTCGTAGAATCGGTATATCTTTCTTGGGGTTGATCCTACCATCGATTCATGCGAAGTGGGTTAACTAGCTTGAGAGGGATGTAAAAGTGGATTAATGCGTGTCGACGTTAAAAGGAACGTCTCTCATTAGAGTAATGTGCGAATTATTAGTAGAGACTCTCACGAGTTTCCAAGGTATAATCATTTCAGATCGAAAAAGATATCTAAAGATATTTGTGTGTATCCGCGGACAAAAAATATATTTATATAGAAAAATCAAAATATCATGTCTACGTCAAGGATTATCCGACGACATTTTCATTATTAATTTTTCAACCACGGACAAAGTAGAATCGAATAGCATGATATACTTGTAAAATATATACGTATAGGAACCTTCTTTCATCTTACCTCGAAGCATCTGCCACGAATCGTTAAATTATAGTCCATTTTCAACATACCTTCTGACAAGATATCTCTATCTAACCAATGAGAAATTCGCTTTTCCTCGCTAACTTTTCTTACTCTATCCCTTTTCTTCTCTCTCATTTCTCGTTGAAACGCTTTTTGGTTATTTCTTCTCTCGAGAAGAAATAACTCGTGATATTATTGATCCGATCCCCTTAACGTTTTAAGAGTTATCGTGAAATGTCGATGACATGTTTCGTTATTAGGATTTTTATTTCCTTCTGATCATAAGTAAAGTAAAACCGAAGTAATACGAAATGTTTCACTTATGTTCGCGTAAATTGTATATGAGGAATGAATAAAACAAGTGGAAAAAGCAAATAGAGTAGTAGAAACATTGGTATGAAGTATGGAGAAAAGAAAAAAAATAGAAAAAAATATTAAAAATCCGAGACAGCGTAAAGAATAAGTATGATCAAACTTTTAGATACAGAACGAAGTATCCATTAAGTCTTTCTTTCTCTCTTTCTAATATTCTCACCTCTAATCGTAAAAAGATTTGTTTTTCGACATGCCACGTCATATTTATTTGTCTTTTTAATATCATTTATTATATCTACGAAGTCGAATTTATTTTTCTCTGAAATCGATACTAAGGCCAAAAAAATGAAGTGATTAAATAAATGAATATTTACACATACGTGTTAAATGTAATATAAAATTCATAATGAAACGTCTTTTTATCAACGTGCTACGTAAATTAATTAGAAGCTCTTTTCGTGATTTAGATGACGTTGAAATAATCCAAGCAAAGTACATTTACATTCTCTATTAACAGGTTCCCACAGGATCGGCTTTGTCGAAACTCTCTCTCTCTCTTTCTCTGTCTATCTCTTTCTCCTATCTCTCTCTTTGGTTTTAGAGACATGACAGCAATGTCGCATATGCGTAATGTCAGATTGCCTGGACAAACGGCGCATCGTACATTTGCAGCACATGCTCGCACGATCGCGTCAAATCGGAGATAATTAAACCAAAGATTATGCGGGATTGGATTATAATACTCAGTCTGGTATCTAGCGTTACTAACCAGTATCAAAGTAGTTTAAACACGGTCCGTTTCTAATCTTTGTGTAAATCTACACATTTAAAATGAAACAAAAATATATATATTTTATTATTTCAATAATCAATTAATGTGGATGTATGATGTATCGAACGAATAAAACAATATTGATTAAGATACGTTTTACTTTGAAGTGAAATACAATTACAATTGTATAAGAATGTTAAAAAAAAAGAAATAAGTACGTCTGGATAAAAATCGATCTACTAGAAAAGAGAATAAGGGGGCCACTATGGCGTTAAGGCGAATTCAAGCAGAGTCCAGTGTGTGCAGGAAGAGCGAAGGTTTTCGGTCGCGTTTGTTCCGGGTACGCCGCAACACGAGTTACGGATAATAACGGTGGGCTATCCCGGAGCCACCAAAGTCAAACCGCAAGCTCCATCGACATACGCTGCACGTACCGAGCATGCACATGCACATGCACGAGGACTCCTGTCGCGATTGATATTGGTGTGCGTTTCTCGTATATTGTGCATCGTTGCGACGAACGCGTATGTACAACGTGCAAGCACACATGTCCCTATATATAAATATATGTATATACGTACGTGTCACCTGTTTTACGTGTACGCATGCAGGTACATTTAGGTATTCTGTGTGCGTGCGTGCATGTATGCGTGCGTGTGTGTGTCTGCCTGCCTGCCTGCTTTTCTACGTACATGCATATGTATATATATACCGCTAGTGTACACGAAGAATCACGAAGCGTGTTTGGTGCGCAAACGCGCGGAACACGAGCCGAAGGACATCGTGAACGAGCGCAATAAACTCGTAGTACGTCACATAGGGACCGTATACATCGAGAAGGAAACGTGTACTGTGCACGATTCCGATCGGTCGCGCGTAAACACACGTATATGCGCGCGATCGCAAACGTTTCAGCGCGTTCACTCCTAGATAGTAGAGACGGAGATAGAAATTTATATGAAAAGAGAGATAGAGGCTGAAAGAGAGAGAGAGAGAGACAGACAGATGAACATACAGAGAGCTTACATGGCTTCTCTATTTACCTTTACTGCATTCACACATATATAGATACGCGTTAAACGCATTTGCGTGGTCAACTAGCATAAGACTGACTGTCCTTCCTATGTCTCTTCAACTTATCTATCATGGTGTGCGTTAAAGCTTCGTTGGTAATTAATTTATTTGACAGGACGAATTTCAACCAACCTATACGCATTATTAAATGAGTCCACGCGTATGCATACGTAGTAATCTTATGAAATAGAAAAATTATAATTAGGAAGGAACACAAAAATATGAAATAAATGTTGAATTTGATTTGCTAAAAGGGGAAATTTTATAGTACAAAACCTATAGACATTATCTTTTCCTTTATATAGGATAAAAAAAATGCTTACGAACTGCAGTGCATATTGAAGAGACTCGGAACAAAAGATGCTAGGATAAATGTATAAACAACTTACAAGTTCTTCTCTTTATCCTGTACGTGACATAATTTTCCGTGACAAGATCGGCGATGTTTATCCATCGTGCGAGGTTGTATAGAGAGTGCAC